TTATGATTGAGTTTACCTGCCATGAGACAGAATTAATTCTACTAGCCTGTTTCAGGGCATTCAAGGGCAGGATAAGGTCTCCACAGGTTCCTCTCTCCTATGCCCTTGGGATGCCAAATTTCAGATCCAGAGGCTGCAAAAGAAATGCAGTTGGATGTAAAATTAAATATGCAAAGTTCCAATTATAAAAGGAAGGGTGCAACCCACTTACCCCCAGTAGGTGGGCTATTAATTGCATTACTGTACACAGTTGGATTTTAAGATAAGGATTTCTTGTTTGTTTGGAGCTTTAAAACCTTCAGTGTTGCATGGGAACAAAATTCTATTCTTGAGAGACAAGTATGTGCATATTCTCCCCACAGTTCAGAAGACGGAAGCAACAACTCCATCAAAACAGCTTTGAGCAGTACAACACTACATCTGAAGCAGTTTGGCTGGGATACTTGTTAAAAGTACTTTTTTTTTTTTTGTGGCAACATATCTTCTGGAAAACATAAGCATGGGTGACATTCCCTTTTGCAGAACCTTTACTCTCCCCCTCATAGAAATCCCAGCACTTTGTGCAGGTGCTCAGGTCATGACATCTGCTACAAGTGACAGTGGGCAGACTAACAGAGCTCTTTGCAGTCGTGTCAGAGCTGCAACACACACAAGCATTTAAGTGCACAGCTAAGGAGAAAGGTTTAAGGATAAACAGAAATTGGTGGTTTTCCCAGGCCCAAAAGCAGCTGGACAAGACAGTGGGTACAAATAGGCACAGAAAGGCTACTTGTCCTTATATGGTCACACAAGGGCACAGATCAGTCAAAAAAAGACCATTGATTGTATCACCAGGATCATAGGAGCAAAATCATACCCGTTTGACAGTAAAAAGAATTTTTAGCTCTTAATACTTTTAACTGAGACTTTTAAATCCTACTTTTTCCTCAAACCATAAAACATTCCAACAATTCTCACATGTTCTCATTTGCTTGTATGTTAGGAGTCCAGGAAAAAAAATCAAACAGATCTTGGGTTTTTGCAAGAAGAGGAACTTTTAAGAACTGAAAGATAATATGCAATTCCATTGCATTCCTTTTCAGCAACAGCACAAAATAAGTACTTTGAACAGGCAAACAGGACTTGGACTCTGCAAATAAACGATACAATTTCAATATCAAGAATTGTTGCTAGTAATAGGTAAAAATACAAGAAAATGGATGTTAATGGTTCTCAGACACTGTTAGCCATGTGCAATGGCCACGTGCCCGTGTGTGTTTGTACCTGTCACCAGACAAGTACCAAGGACAACTTTTGCCTTCCTGTGGGGGCTCCACTGCCAGGACAAAGAGTAAAAGCAACACCCAGATTATTAGTGAGACACAATCTGCATCTCATTAGATTAACTTAGCTGAGGCTTTGGTGCTGTACATTAGGGTTAACCATCATGGAGTAAAGTCTCTGAGTCACATGGAAATCATTCTCCTGGATGTGACACAGTCCCAGAAACTAAATCGAACTATTTCCTAAGTTTGTGATACCAGAGTGTACCTGAAGCAGCTGGAGAACAGTGTTTATGCTCTTGTCCAATGCTTAAAGGTTTGCATAAAGAGGGATAGGGTGAAGCATCACACACATATTAAAACATAGCCAAACCTATTTAACTACTCAGCCCCAAGCTCCTGAGTACAGAATGTTTTAGGAACACTTTGCTCCAGCTGTGTGTATGAGCTGTCGCTAAGCCCTGGCACTGAAACAAAATCCTGGATCTTTCTACTATGCAGGTTTTTCCTCTTTATACCCATGTTAAAAAAAGCAGCAGTGGGAATGTGACAGATAGTTGTTTCAATAATTAAGATGACACTTCAGTTTCTCTGGGAACAAGTCCTACACATGGTCACAGCCACACCTTGTCACTTGAAAGTAGTACACATGAACCATCAGCTCCATATGGAAACCCTGCTTCAAATGACCAAACTCACCCACCTAATTCTTCTGACCCAAGGGAGAGCCCAAGGCAAGTCCATCCCCACAATAAGGTGAAGAAAAAGTCCATACAAAAATATTACAACAAGAGCTTCAAATCCACCCTCAGACACAGCACAGGGGTGTCCCAAGGTTCACTGTATGGCTTGCAAGCCCAGACTTCAGACACTTGGATGCTAAGAAGCCACCTGTGATGGTGTGGCTGAAACTGCTGGGGAGCACACCTTTGCTCAGTCAAACAGGAGACAGGGAAGAACCAGCCCTGAGCAGAAGGCAAAATTTGCACTACAAAAAAATAGAGTGCAGCAGGATACACTTCTTTATACCCTGGTGCCGGCAGTGTTTTCAGAAAGGATTTCCACTTGCCTGAAAGGGATATCCTCAATATACGCTAATCCCTGCTCCCAAGCATAAAGGGATGTGCAGTGAAAACAAGGTAAAGGGACTTGGGTTGCCCAAATGCTTTTGTCAAAATAAAGAACTTGGTAACAAATAGCTCATAGGTAAATGGACATAAAGTCTTCCTGGGAGCTCTTAGTTAAATTTTCTTCTAGGACCTTTTCTCCAAAGCCTCTTTTAGATACACAGATTTCATTTTAATTTTTAAATCCCTCTTTAGTTCTCCTAGATCTCTCCCTGTGGTTACCTTTAGCCTTTCAAATTGTATCATTTTCTCCTTCAAAATATAGCCAGACTTTTTTTTTTCCTCTTTCTGCTTGTAAATGCCCCAATAACCTATTTAATCAGTGTCTGCAAAACTGTTCTACTAGGGGAAAAATTAGAAGACAGTAAAGCTCAAGTTACAGAAAAATAATTTGTACACAAGCAAGATTTAAAACTCTTTGAAATGGAAACTAATGCATCCATTAACGGAATAGATTAATATTTTTTCTTGTTTTCTCTCCTCAGAGAGCAACAAGTACTCCCAAGTAATTTGAAGGGCTGACTCACCTGAAGCCCACAGAACCACCTGCTCTTTTCCAAATACCAACACATTAAGTACAAACAGGTGAGAAAATTCCCCTTGTTGATACATTTGCTTTATAAGCCCTTAGTATCTGCTTCAGGGGCTGTATTGGTACCACCCCCAACCTCCACAAAATCTGTGAGTTTATCCCTTCTTTCTGCATGTCAGCTTGTCACACATCTAGACTGCATGGAATGACAGCCATTGCAGAGGACTGAGCACAAACAGAAGCAAGAGAGTTCAGGCAGTGGTCCTTCCAGCTGCACAGTTTCTACACAATGACATTTGTTTCTTGATGCTTTTTTCCAGATGTTGCCATTAGCTTTTTTCCAGAAACCTGGATACTGCCAGAGATCTTAGCAGACCAAAAAAGGTGCATTTGAGGGGTAAAGGTGCACTAGCAACAGAGGAACAGACAGGAGTAACCACCAAATACAGCACTGTTTAGGTGCATATTTAAAGCATAAGGAACCACAACAGGGGGGGAAAAGTGGGAAAGAAATTAAAATAAACCAAGTGATGAACAGAACTGTGGGCTTACAGTATGAATCTCAAGAATAGTAAAGTAGTCTGCAAATCTGGAGTAAAAAGACAGGAAAAGCCACACTTTTAATTACCAATAAATAAAGTTATATACTTTTAACAAACCACATCTAGTATCTCTTAAGAAAAAAATTGAGGCAATTTGTTACCAGAGATGGCATTTTCTATAATACAGTGAAGCAGAAACCTGTACTGTTTAGTTTAGTCTGCCAATCTAATTGAAGCGCAGAAGGACTGTGAGGGAGAGAATTTGTCATAAATTGAGGCTCTGATATTGACAGTAAAATAACGGAGTATAAACATATTTCTATTGTAGCTTTCATTGAAGCACATTTTTCTGATAAAGCCACTACTATACTCAATATAGTTCATAATACATTTGTAACACCAAAGTTGTTCATTCTTACAAAAAATGCTACAAGAGAGGAATTTTTCCTGCTCCTTGTAGTGACCTTCTCTTGGCTTCGTCCTCTAGGAAAAATATTTAGACCACAACTCAACTACCCTTCACTACAATATAGCTTGAGTTGTTTGATGAAGTTTAGTGTGTTGTGCTGCATTTTCACTTTTCTAGCTCATGGAGAGTCTCAGAGTTAGCTCTCTAGATGTCACTGTTGGGCAAAGAAGGGGACGAAGTTGAACACAGCAGAGTTTGTAAAGCTCTGTCATCTACTTCTTAAGAGGCTTATTAGAATTGTTTAGAAAATTCACCTTGCATTGAGTTTCTAACAACCACCAGCATCAGAATCAGGAAAGAGACTAAACCTTCCCCTTGTAATGAGGTTGTCTTTTCTTGAAAGCAAGACACCATCTCAGTTCCAGACAGACTCTGGAGCTTTTTTGGTGCAACGAATCATCTTCTGCTCCATAGCAAAATACCTCATTTATGGTTACTAATCAGTACAGAATTTTAGTAAGTTTCTATTAAACTTTTTCATATTTTTTAGAGAACTGGCAAGTAAATCACAGCTTTCTGGAGATTAATCCATGCAATTTACATCCTATATATTTAGCAGTATTGCATTTCATCAGGGCATATATAAAACTGCTACATTCAAACAAACATTTTAGCTACATATAGATCCCCACTTCATGACAAGAGATCATTTCTTTTCCTTCCATATCACAAGGAATGAAATTGCAGATTAGTATTATTAATTGCTAATTCCAGCAATTTTGAAATGCTATTTTATGTGAGAGTTCTTTCTGCAATAATTCAAATTCCATATAAAATAAAATCTAGCACTTTTCTAAGCAGCACTATTTTCCAGTTTCACTGAGCATTTCACTAGAAAAGCAATTAATGCCTGCTCCCAGCTGCAGCCACATGAAATACTTTTCAGTGTGCAAGCAGGAAGACAGACAACTTTTAGAAAAATGACAGAACACAGCTAACAAAACACCTTTCCCAGATTTTCTGGGAAAAAAAGACAAAAAATTCAGCATTCTTTTTAGTTTTGAACAGCAGCATTGCAGAGATTAGTATCCCCATCCATTAACCATCCAAAATCAGAGTTTCCCTTACCCCAAATGGTGGATATGAAGCAGCAGCAGCAGCGGAGGCAACGCTCACTGCGGGAGGTGGTATTCCTGAAGAAGAAGGTGGGAACAGACCCAAGGCATTCAGATTTAATCCAGGAATTAAATGTGCTTGAAGCTGCAATGGCAGAAGAGTTAAGATTTAGAATTCTGGTTATTAACTTTAATAAAATTCTAGTTGGCACATGCTATTAACCTTTTGGGATGTTATTTTTAAAAAATAATTAATCGCCACTACTCAAAGGACTCACCTTCAAACCTGTTTCCTAGACACAGGTACAGACCAATAACATTAAAAACACATAGTAGGAAAAGCTGATCACTTCTTACAACTTAATCATCAAAATACATTTCAAATTTCACAGCAAGATATTAATATAATAGTACTATTTACTTTGAGTGAACAAATTTATTAGAAAAGCAGTAGTTTTGTCCTTATATTAAAAAGACAGCCCTGTAGAAATAGAAACTGATCATGCACAAAGCCCTGCTTTTCTTACACTGGGGGAACATATATGTGACACTGTCACCCATCTTCCTTCCATTGCAAAAGATTAAGTGAGATACCTCCAGAAATTGCTGGGAAAGGATCAACTATAAAGTTACATGTCCCTTCCTTGACCACACCTGAGAAAAGTGCCATCATCACATGGTAGGAAACATTTGTTGTCTGATACAAAACTTGTCAGTACCCTTTTCCAAATTATTACTCAAAAACATTAATATGCTTTAGAAATATTTCAGATAGAGAGACAGACACTACCTCAGGCCATTAAGATAAGTCAATCACAAGACACCAAAAAACCTCAAAACTTCACCACGTCAGAAACAATCTTAATAATCACTACAAACTAAACTTGAAATCTATACAGTAACAAAGTTTTTTGGCTTTCCATACCTTTGTCAAATAGCAATGCAGTCTCTAACTCACCCCATGTTACTGCTTGTTATATGAAACAAATGCACCACTATTGAATACTTTGTTCCTCATGTGTAGCTCATATATTGCAATTTGCTTTGTGTGGGGGTGACAGAAGGGAAAAGTGGGGAGAATATTTACTTGGTAGGACAAGCACAAATAACAGACATTTCTAGATGGTCAGAACTATTGTAAACTGAAAAAATATTTTCATTCTAACTCTAGACCATAAGATTTGGATACACATGCACATACAATGCTTTTCCTATCAAAATCTCAATCATTTCTCAATATGCATTAGTAATACTTTGGCAAACTAATGAGGTATGTTGTTTTCATTATATAATCAAACATCTTCAAATAGCTAAATGTCTTTATCAACTATATCAAGAAAAAAACTTAAGACCTTCTTAAATTAAATAATTAAAAACAGGAGGGATCTTTCTTCCACACATTATTGTGCTATTTATGTGATGAGACTGAATCACTACTTTAAAAAACATGCAAGCCAGAGCACATAAGCCACAACAGCACAAACACACCCTACTTCAGGTTCTTGCAACTAAAAAGTTAAATGCTCATTAATTTCCTCAATCTAAATAAAGTTCTCAGTTTTTCCACTCAAAAATAAACCAGAAGAAGACTCCATTAAAATAACACACAAAAACACTTGCCCACACTCCCACAAATAAATGAGGCAACAGAGAAGCTGCAACAGAAAATTCTGATGTGATATTAGGGGAAAAAAAATCGTTGTGAGAGCAGTGAAACAGGGCACAGGCTGCCCAGAGACACTAAGGGTTTTCTATCCGTGGAAATGTTAAGGAGAACAAAACTCCCTACACAACCTGGTTTAACTTTGAAGTGTGGCTGACATTGAGCAAATCCACTACTGGGACAGGCGATCTCCAGGGGTCCCCCACACCCAAAATCCTTCTGTGGTTTTAGTCCCAGAAAGAGCCCACACCGGAAGAAAACTCACATTCATAGCAGCAATATCATTTTCATAGGACTCCCTGATTTTCTTCATTATTTCTTCCTCAGCCTTGGCACAAGTTTCAATACTGCCTTTAACTGTAATGGTCCTTTCCGGATTATAGAGTGTCAAGTCCTGCAATCTGCAAATGACACAGAAGCACAGTTAATTAGTAAACAAAGAAGATAATCCGGATTTATCATTTGAGTGCGACATCCAACATCCAAATATGTCAAATTTGCCCTCCAAAGGCTGTAGTATCAATTTATAACAGGGCTCAAACACAGTTCTCAGACAATCTGGGGAAACTCTGTCCTCATGGGAAACACAACAAAGCCCTCACAGTGAGGTTTGGCCTGGGATGGCTGGGAAATACTTGGGTGCTGACAAAACGGAGCCACCACACTCCGGAGGAGCACAGAGAGCTGCTGCAGGGCAGAGAGTTTAAATTTATGGACAAACTTACCAAAAAGCCTGAATGAAGAGATCATGAGAAAGACTAATTAGAAATAGCAAAATCAATGGGCATATATGCTCTCCTTTTTGTATTGATTACACCAGATGACTTCAGGGGGCTATTTTAGGCATAGTATGACAAATAGAATCTTGAAGTCAAGATTTTAATGCAAATAAACTTTTATCTTGCTAAGTTAAAAAATACTCTGTAGCTGTTTACAGGCAATGTGTTATTTGTGTCATCATCAATAAAGACAAGTGGATTTCATGGAACAAAGACCATCTTTTCATGTACTCTGGACACATTTTTTTTCCCTTTTAGCATTAATAGTCTGTGTATTGTTTGCAGACAAAATGTTTATGCAAACGCATTCAAGAGAGCATGCTGGCCTTACTAAATCTATTCTTGAAGCACACGTATTTAGGTGCTTTTTCTCTATTTGTTTCTCTTCCTCAGACTAATTACATAGACACACACCTTTAAGGAAGGCCTCAGGTGCTTTCATCCAAATTTGTTTTCCTCTTTCTGAAGAGCCACATTGGCTCCCAGCTTCCTTGTCTTCATTTGAGCTATTTCCTGCACTACTTTTTTTGTCTCCTGCATGTATTCACACCTCTTCATACATCTTCATGTGTCTTCCAAACCTTTTCCCTTTCCTACAGCCTGTAAGCTTAATTCTCACCCTTCCTGGCTAAAGCCAAATCCAGGATGCCTTCAAATGCTTGGAAGTCCATGCCAGAGCATTCATTATTCAGAACAGGAGGTTCTCTGAAGATATTACTCCAGGGTAAAACTACTATTGACTGCCAAGCTTCTACAGAGATGTTAATCTAATCAGTGATCTACAGATTTCCAGTAAAGGTGAAAACTCCTGTTTAATCTCAGCTAAATTTGGGTTACCCTCACAAACTCAGACCAAAAGCTATTACTTTGCAGCAGACTAGCCAATGTATTGTAATTTGACTGTTGGAGGCCAAGAGGGACAGAACTGCTATTAAAGATAAAGATACCCTTTTCAGTATTTATTTGCTCTATTTCTTTCCTTCTAATCCAAAAATTTAATATATACTGGAAACTAAAACATCACCAATTTCACTCTTTTTCACACATAGCTAAGAACTGATCAAGACTTACAGTTTCAAACATTCATCATTACATATGGTATAATATGTTAAAAACAACTACTTAAAATATAGTCTAACACAGGCTCCACATAGCCTATGTTATTTTTAGGCTTGCTCTTGACTGAGTTTATAATGAAGAGTCACTGTTTACATAAAATATAACTGAGCTTAAGTAACAGTTTAATCTATATGATGGAAAGGCCTCTGAAGGGCTGTTATCTCAGCCTTCAACACACAGAATATTTTTCTAAGAACTCTGTACCTGAATGTCCCACAGCAGCACTGCTGCCATTTGACATCTCACTGAAAGATTAGGCCACCAAAAACTTACGGTGATATTGTGATTTTAGTATCTGTGTCCTGTTCAATTTTCTTCAGGTTTCTTCCTTCTTTGCCAATAAGTCGCCCGACAAAGTTGTTGTGTGCCAGTATCTTCAAGGGAATTTCTTCTGTACTGTAATGGAAGTTATACCTAGTGAGACTTTTGGAGACCAGAGTACAAGCTTTTATGCATGTTATGGATGAATTTAATTTTCATAGAAATATCCATAACTCCCTTTTGCATGTTTTCATTGGGTGCAGAATAAGTCCAGATGCAATGGGCTTTTCAACACTATCGCCTACAGCTTAATTGCAATGCACCTGCAACTGAATAATGCTCAGTCTGAAGTAACCATTGCTGTTGGGTGGGAAGAAAATATATCTTAAAGCTTTTAGTGAGGGCTCACAACTTGTTATGCTTGCTTGGACCAAAAGCTGTCTGTTGCTCAAGAAACTTCCATATTTGGTTCATTTCACCTCACCAAAATCAAAGCCAGAAAAAAACTGAAATCATAGAAGCATGCTGGGGGCTAATTAAGTAAGTAGACTGTCCTGAAAGGTAAAATATCTCAGTCCTTTTACCTACTTAGATAGGATAATAGCAAATATGCACTTGTTAATAGCTTTAAAGACCACATCTTTAAATGGAGCTAGTGAGAACTCAGAATTTTTAATGCTTCCACAATGAAATGCTTTTTACTCACAATTTAGTATCTTGAGCTTCCTTTTGCATGATCTCCATAATAATTTTACAAGCTGTTGAGCAGCCTTCAGGAGTTGAGTGGATGGTAATTGGTTTCTCAGCAGCACCTGCATTCTCTTTACGATGAATATCAATTCTTGAAGAAAGAAAAACACTAACTGTAACCACATACTCTATGGTAAGCGTTATGTATTTCCAACTGTTGTAAAACTAAATTATTTTGAGCTAACAGTGACTATATATTAGTAGTTTAATTTTGAAAAGCTTATAACTACTTAAGTGTATCCTAAATACAAATTTGTGTGTTTATGAAGAGCCTCTCCTATCCTGATTTTACCAGCTAAACCCCACCTTTGTGGACACTGGGATCTCCTTTTCTTGGTAAACTTCCATAGAGATATTCAGGGGAGTTGTTAGACAATGCTGTAAACCCCTGAGGACTACATCCCATCAAGCTTTCCCAGTGCTCCATCTCCATCCCCACTGCTCCATCTCCAGCCCCACTGCTGCACTTAGAATGACTGTGCAGCTGCAGGACAGTCAGGCTTTGTCCATCTTATTTTAAATACATCAGCAGCAGTTTCCCAGCACTCCTCTGCTAGCAAGTAGCATGGTAATACTTTGCATCCATCCACAAGATTAGTTTCTTATACTTTTCCAGCCTGGTTTCACCCTGATATTACCTTTACTCTAGTCTAATCTTTACCTGAAACTACAACAGGTTTATGTAGCTCTAAGACTTTAACGAAAATAAATTATGACCTGCATAAAGACAATGCCTTGGCTATTACTTTTCCCTTCCAGTAACTGCAGCTCACATATTCTTTCCACCTCTGCTTTTTGTTTTCATCCCTCTTCCACATGTAACAGCTGTTTTCTAACTGAAACAACCATGTAGCTTTTCAAGAAGCCCCTTTATTTTTGCAGTTCTTTCAAGTATTGAAAACTCATTTTATTTCACAATGCAACATTTTCCAAGAAACCCATCTTGGCAATCCTTGGTGGAACTGAAAGAAGATGAAATTTCCTTTTTTAAACCCCCAAACCAATGAAAGCATCATTCTCAAAGTTGCGTATGTGTAAAGTTAGCAGCTTGCAATTATTTCTGCTCTACCTACCCTTCTTCTGGATATAAAAGCTTTCTTTATGCCAATCTTCTAGGATTTTTATAGTCCAAGAATTAGATGTTTTACATATCACCTGAAAAACTGGTTACCCATAGAAAAATTACAACTAAGTCTTCTCAGGACCCCAAAAATCTCTTAAACCTGTGTTGTTAAACACACTGAATAGTCTCCTGGGTTACATTGTGCTAATGAGAGTTTGGAAGGAGCATCATGATAATCCTGGGTTTGGGGAGGGGGATAAGCCTGTTTGTTGGGGGTTGGGGTATAATTAAAGAGGAGTCCCTTATCCTCATTAACTACTCTCAAAGTGGAGGCTCCCACCCACCCTCATTCCCCTCACACACAGCTCATTCCCAGGTCCTGCCTGCTGCAACTGCAGAGCTGCAGGCTCCTACAGCGGGCTGCTGAAGGCAGCATTTTAATTCTCTGTTTTTACAGGTATCCTGGAAAAATTATTGGAATAAGAACCCCACCTCCCTCTGCATCTGTGCTGAGCTTTTGTTTGTGGGTAGGATTTAACATGCACTGAAAACAATCTCTTCTAGCATCTCAAGACCCCAGTGCTCTAAGCTTCTTAGGTCACTTAGCAGCTTGCTTTTTGCCTCCTGTGCATTTCCTTAATCTGTGTTTTGGTGTGGTCTGCAACTTGATAGCAACAAATGTATTTTACAGAAACAGAGCAGGGTAAGGTAGAAGAAGCAGTCAGTGGAGATAAAAAGGTTCTTTGTTTCGGGCTTTTTCCTCCCACATCTTGAATTGACAACACTCACAAATCCTAAAAATGCCCTAATCAAACAAACTAGAATAAACATTTGGGACACTTGGGTACATCACCACACTGACTGTATGCCACCCAGAACAACATATTACAGCTCTTTCAGTTTCACTTTTTGTGCCAGAACCATATTAGTACATCTGTAAGCAAAACTCTCCAGAGTACCATCCTGCTAGCACTCCTCTTTTACAGAGGAATAAAAGTCAGCTAGTATTTGAACACGCATCAAAGACAGAATCCAGTCCTTAAATATTGCAAAATATTTTCTGTTCTCTGTTGTCTTAATTTGCTCTCTGACCATGCAGATTAGCAATGAAGTTCTACAAATTCCTCTTTACACAAGCAACGATGACGCAACATTAAAGCTATTAATCAGTTTTGTAAAATAACTTACTTGGACTGTGTCTGCTTGGTAATGTTTCTGATTGTTGCTCCTTCTTTCCCGATAATGGCTCCTACAAACTGTGTGGGAACCAGCATCCGTAGAGGAACGTCCGACTGTGGTTTCTGCCGCGTGGTTGCGCCGGGTGACCCTTGCCTGGGAGGACCCCTCTGGCCAAATCCACGTCTTCCCTGGGGGTGTTGTTGTGGAGGTTGCTGGGCTGCCATCTCATCAGGGATGTATGCAACTTTCAAGGAATAGTTTTCAAGCTGAAACCCATTCAGTTTTTCTATTGCTCTGTTTATTTGGAAAGGGAAGAGAAGAGAAGAGATTAAAAAAGCCCCACGAGCACATGCAAGGCCTTATGAAATAAGTTATTCAGACATAGACTTCTGTCCTTTCTAAAGGAAAGGAAAACTAAAAACATTCCAAGATGAAAAGTTACATTTTAAATTCTTCAGCCAAAATTTTGATTACACAAAGTCACCTTATTAAGTACTACAAGTTAGCTCTTGCTTGTTCTGGGCTTCTGTGCACTTTAAAGGTTTTGCTGGTCCAACCCGATCAGCAAAACCTCATAGGAGACAGAGCTTATACACTCAAAAGCATTCTTTTGCCTGATTTAATTTAAATCAATTTTCCAAATAGAATTAAAGCTGCACCAGAGGGAAAACTTTTTAGCTGGTATCACAGCACCTTCATTAGGGTTTTTGCCAGCACAGCTATTTGGCTGGAGCTTTTGCAATAACTGATATAGCTGTGACAGGAATGGAAAAAAAAAACTTATGAAAGAAGAAAGCACCTTCATTTCAGCAGGAAAGAAAGCACTCAAAGCCAGTCAATTGCATCTGAAATGCCCCTTAGACTGCAACAGCACCTTGCAACTTACTAATTAGTCACATTATAGGTAGGCTTAAAAGCTAACAAGGAAACTAAAGCCCCATGTATACATTAAATTCTCAATAAAAGTAAAGTGTTAGAAGGCATTCAAAATGTTGTTTCAACTTCTCTTGTTCTTTTAGTAAAGCATCACAGAGGGATAATGCCCAAATGTACCCAACCCCCTCTCACTGTGGTTCCTCATGCTGAAAACCTCCTGGTTGCTCAGCATTGCCTCTGCTCTGTCCCTCTTCCTAACCAAGGACAAGTCTGCAGGTGCTCTTGGCTCTCCTCTTCACAGGAGGAATACAGTTCAACTCAAAAATGACATTTACAGAAGGTAGAATACCTTCCACTCACAGAGTAGAGTTAATAACACTAAATATCTAGCAAAGAGTAGGAATAACTAAGCTACATGCAGCACATTGGTAAACCAGTGGTATAAAATAAATACATTTGCCCCAAAAAGGCATTTCAACTTTTGCTACAACAAGCATTACTATTCAGATTATCAGCAATATACTGATCACTGAAATATGCACTGATATGGGATACTTTATAAATGCCAGACTTAATATTTGACCAAAGATTACTTGACAGATTTTCTTGAAAAACAAAATTAAAGTAAATTTAAAAGGAGGGAGGGAGTGTCCATTTTTATTAAAGAACTCACCAATATTTTCTTTAGAAAGCTCCAACAACAGTCCCTCCATTCATGCACATTTGAAGGACTTTACAGTCAGTTTGCCAAGCATTAGCCTCAGCAACACTTTTATTCCTGCCTCTACTACAGAGATAAAGAATGATGATAGTAAATTGCCTACATTTTCAAGGGCAGCAAGTGAAAAATACTATTTGTCTCCTGGGTGTCCCATTTGACAGTCTGGGTCACAAGCAGTCGTTGAAGCCCAGTTCAGAAGTGGTATTTGGATACCAAATATAACAGGTCCCTCATCTCCCAGGAGTTAAGCCAGCATCCTCAAAATACTCCAGTCTGACAGTGAAGAGCTTATAAGAACACAAGTAATTTGTGTCTTTGGAACAATGTTTAATAAGTGCTGATAATAAATAAGGCCCAAGGCAATGCCAATGAACAAAGAAAGTGAAATATTGAATAACTGATCACTGTTCATTAAATACTTCTGTTAACCAAATGAGACACAGGTCCTTTAGGAATTGCCAGGAGTGTAATTACTCCCATAATAGAAGAATCCTTTAGATCAAGTGGCAAATGAGCTGGATTAAAATTCGGTGAGGTTATTTCAGAGCTCACATTTTTAAATTTTTACTCCATGGATTTTGAAGAGCATTTTATTACACAATAAAACATGTTTACAAATCAGGAAGAGCATTGAGCAGACTAGTGAGACTTGAGTTTCTATGGATTTGTCTCAATTTTTAATTTCTGCATAGATTTCCAATGCCTGAAAGACATTTCACTGAAGTCTCCCTCTCTCTGGACATCCTACTTGGAAAAGGGGTCTGAGACCTTTCCTTTTTATACACCCTAGACATACTAATTTCTTGTTTGTTGCAAATATCAATGACCTCTATTTCTACCTCGGGTTTCACTGAAATCAACCAGAAAGCTGAATTGCTACCAGGAAAGGAAACGGCACTGCCAGGGCCATCCAGTTGCACAAGCCCTGTCTCTTTTGGAATCAAATATCAAGGTGTTGGAGAGATTAACACCAATTTTTTTGCAAATGTGCTGATATGCTCCAGATTAACGTCCATCCCAACTCATTTCCCTCCATGCATTTATTTTACAAGTTCAGACATTGCTTCTTTGCTAAAATGCATCAGCCTCCTCTGGCTTTAACACATCTTTGACCAGAATTCCAGAATTAACACAAAACCTGACAGTAAATCAGTACCAGAATACTCACTCTTCCTTAGAAGTGGTTGGGAAAGGAATTACTAGAATTATTGTTTGCAACCAGGCTTCATACCTATCATGGTTTCACACAAAACACTTCACATCAACAAGTATATATATAAATATATATATACACACACACACATATCCACAAATATGCACCATACTTTTCCTGGAGAGAAGGTTTTCATCTTAATAACAATTTATAAATTGCTAAATGGTTCCATATGTCTATAAGTACCTTAAATTCAAAGCAAACTGAGAAAAGTTAATTTGCCATTGTGGAAAATTAATTATGTCAACAGTGAGCAATCTCTGGCCACCAAAACCATATGATGACATGGAAAAATAGCACACTAATTCACCCTGTGAGTCACTGCGTTCTCCATATTTTACAGCCTGGCTTGTTTTATAGTTTGACTTGCTCAAATGATGGGAAGCCATAAGAAGAACCAGTAATTAGATGCTGATCTCTCAAGCCTTTGTGGAACTGGTATTTCTTGGGTATGTGGTCCCATATTCTACACTGATTTGGGTATGCACAGTGGAATGCCAAGATAACTGATTTGCAGTGGATGTAGCCCATATACAGTTCTAGTGCATTTTTACAGAGGGGAAAAAAACCAGCTTTGAAAAGATCCCTTTGGCTGTTGATTCTGGCCTTCACATTCCAATATTTGACAGTTTTCACTAGGTTTTTACAGTACTGTCATATACTTTTCTTCAGTTTTTCTGGACTAATTTTTATCAATTTTGTGGCACAAAACATAGAGCTAGAATTAGGAAATGTGATGATTCAGCAGCCCTTCAGCACCATAACAAGCTCAATTTTAGAGGCATCTAGGCACTACTTTGGGGGCTGGAGAGACAGATATGGAAGAAAATCCAGGAAGAGACAAGTGGCTAAGAACTGTCTTCTAGATGGATGCAAAATTCCTGTAGAACAGCACTGCTCTCAGGGGAAGTCTGAGACTCAGCTAAAAGCAAGTGACCAGTTCTTCACAGCACCAGGGACATCTGTTTGAGGCAAAGCTGAAAATTATAATTGTCATTGCTGCAGTCCACAGGTTATATCAAGCTCCTTTCATAAAGCAAATACTCTCACTGACTGACCACCTTGAGAACTCCAGAACACAGCAACACCACCTCTATCCTCCCACAAAGACCTCTGCCTTCCCAAGTGCTGGGGGGTCTCCTTCCATGACCACACATTAATAAAGGCCATGCAGACTACTTCTGCCAGGGAGCACTGCTGAAAAAAGCCACAAACCATCTTTTACACAGAGGCTAAAATCCTAAAGAGTCACTCAATGAGGACAAAGTTGAAGAAAAATTCAGTTATCTGCCCCATTAAGAGGTGCCCTCCTCCCTGAAGTAATCCTTTATATTTAGTAGCAACAGAAAATGTTTCTATTTCACATACCAGCAGGAGCTGGTACACAGAAATCTCTTAGTATAATTCTGAATTTTTTAATAAAAATTAATTCATTAAGAGGCTGCAGCAACTACTGTCTATGTACTGATAAGATGGATAGCAGCCTGGCTTATGTTCATGTGACACCTGCTCAGAAGCAGAAGATCCTACATAAAAATGAAACCTTTAAACAAGTATTCTGTAAATTAGTCTCCTGAGTTTTTCCCATCAAAATGGGATCTCACTACTGTCCCCTCATGAGCTCCCTATGAGAGAATGCTCACCTAGCCTTCTTCTCCCTTTTGATGCTAGTGGAAGTTAAACACCCTAGATAAATTATTATAGTATAAGCACCAAGTCTCGTGCTGGAAATCATTCTTCCACTGATGGCGTGATGACACTAAGCAATAGAAGGAGAACATATTTCACTCCCACATACAGCTTTTACGTACACCACTTTTCTTTTTTCATCCCTGAACAGATACAATTGCATATGAGAAGACATAACATGGCAAATTTTCTTTAGCATATTTTTTTTATATATAAAATAAAAATATAGGTTTCACCAGTACTTCTGAAAACAAAGGCAGAATGAAACCTAAGCTTATAATACACCACTGAATTTTCAGTATTATCATTCATTCCTATGGCACCATTAGCCCTGACCCACAATGGCATATAAAAATATTAGTTATGTGAATCCTCATTCATTCCAGGATACATGTTGTGCACACACACACAGATGTGTGCTGCATTGAAAAGGTGCTAAAAATTTTTTTTTGCAAGTATTCTGATTAAGAGGTGATCATCAGTGGACTTTCAAAATCCTGGATAAAGCTAAATCTTGTAGCATATACACTGGAATCCTACACACTGGAATCTTTGGGGGAGGGAAAGAGAAGGTGGTATAACTTTTGAAGATATCAGCCATAATTTAGGTGGCAGCACATCACAAGGACACAGCATGTCCTGCTGGTTGCAGTCAGGGATTGATATCAGGAAAAGGGGGGTTGTCTTTTGGCAAGCATGTCCCAAGCTGCCTCAGCACCTGCATGCAGCTGGTTGGGTTGCACAGGGTGAACCACAGGCTCCAGGCTCTATGCCTCACCCTCTCCTCTCTTCCAAATATTCCACAACCCACCACAACATTCAATCACTGTCTATTCCACAGCAGAGCACATGCTTTATAAAGCCTTCTCCCAGTTTCTGGGAAGGAGAGCAGCAGGGGCACTTTGAGAGCTAGAAGAAATCTCTCCTCCTCCCAAGTGCTTGCAGGAGAGGAGAGGAGGGATGTGGTGTCAGACCTGGTAGTGCCAGCCTTCTTTTTGCTACTCAGTGCTAGAGAGCAAAGGGTGGCTTTCTAAGGCCCACACATTACTCTGCACATCCCTCTACAATGCTCCTGGGCTGCCAAAAAGTACCTGATCTGCCATGCTGGTTCCCTTGCTCTGGCCACATTGGCCAGAAGCAGCATCCTGTTTTTTCTGACAAGACAGGCTGTACCCCTCCAGCTAGGAAAGAGATACCACTACAACAGGTCAAAGACACAGACCTACGTCCCAGCTAGACATCAGGAACTGTGCACATCTCAGATTTTGAATGCTGTGCACTCTAAGACTGCTTTCTCAAAAAGACTGCAGCAATCTTTTGTGTTTTCATTTTCCAAATTAATTTTGGATGCAGACCTGAACTGAACATGCCACAGCTGTAGTACCAGCCTAAAGGAAATAACCTCTGCCACAACTACTTAAATTTGCAAGACAGAAAATGGCTCAGTTTCCCAGCTGGGCAGAACCACAAGTTTTATTCAAAAGTACCGTCCTCCAAGCAATGCATACCACACTTGCTTAGAACTGCTTATCAAAATATCTCCAGATTGTATTACAGCTCACTCACTACACACTGCCAGTACACACTCCAACAGTCATGGCAATGCCATACAGATATCCAGCAAGGAAGTAGCCAACTCTGCATGTTCTGTCAGCCAGCACTACTGTGGGGTTAGTGTGTGCATTGCAAAAAGTACAGCAGAGGTGCAGTTAGAACTAGGGACCCACTCATTGTATGTGGCAGCATAGAAATCTTCATGTCATGGTGTTTGATCCAAAAACTGTGGCAAAGAGCACCATTTACCCTAAAGAGCTGAATTCCAAACTACAAAGATTGTTACCAGCTGCTGACTCTTTGGAAACCTAAACAGCTTTTGATAAAGTCAGCTCTTGTTATTGCATGTCCTTCATAGGATGGTCAGCACTGCCTTTATCAACACCTGCACACTCCCTCTCCACTGCCACAGTCATCCCCCACAGCCAGGTTCAAGCAGCAAAGCTAGGTCATGTCTGGGAAAATCATTTCACTGAAACAGCATTGCAGTCACTATGGAATACCCACACATATGCAGGTCCTGTAGTGAGCCTTCATTCCAATTCCTCAGTTGAGGAATTGATCACCTTGATCCAGCCATTTCTCCTAAGGTTGCAAGGTCACCTCCCAAACTCAGACAATCTCAGCTAACATTTTTGAACAGAATATGGACTCATCTGCTTAGAAAACTTGTGTCATGTGAAAGCATTCACAAAGGCACATCAATGCTCCTCCACTTTCCCTACCCATTCCAAGGAACCAAAGTGCCATCATTCAACCTGTATCACTTCCGCTCCCCTACAACATCCATGCTGCATGCCAATTTGCCTGCTTCAAACTCAAGAGGTTCTCATTCAGTGTCACATGGTTTCTTATGAAAAAGAAAACATTATCTTAGACCCTTCTTCACAGTCTTTCCTTATCCCAGCATTTCCTTGGGATTGACCTTAAATTTTAGCACATAAAGCTGGGAACGAAACTGTTGTTTGCATCTTCACAAGGGAGTGCACAAGTCCAGGAATGCACATCACAGATGACAGCTCAAAAAAATATATCATGCTTCTTTCCATGGTATTTTTAGTACTTCTAATATTTTCAAAGGAGAAACTGGCACACATAGTATTAATCTGTAAACATTACACCACTGTAAATTTCTTCAGAACTAGAAATACAGCCTTCTTACTTGCTACACAACAGAATCAAAATAACAGAAGAACCTGAAGAACTTGTTAGAACAATTCAGGTTTTGAGAAAAGTTAAATAGAGAATTCAAGGAAAACATTGTTTTCTTCAGCTCCAGCATACACAGGAGATACCACTGACACAAGTTTCCCATCACATTTGTTTATAATACATTTACAAGTAACCTAATGCTTTGAAAGATTAAATACATGTGTTGCATTCAAGTTACACACAGATGATAATTACTTAATTATATGTACAAATATTGTTTCATTTGTAATTTTGAATTAATGCACACCATAAGCACACTCTGCATCTTAACTGCTGGTTTTAGTTTGCCACAAGGTGGCAGAAATTTCAAAGTTAAAATAGAAAGCCCAATGTAGGCTATTCCATGAGTTTGGTTTTATTTGACCTGCTATGACTAGAAAGAGAGGAAGTAAGTTTATGTCACCAGATTAAAACTTAAGAACCACACATGTCCATTTCTTGTGGTAGAGAAGCAAAATTAAATCTTTAGCATGGTACATAATACAGATTTTAAAAGGAAAAGTATGCACAAACAATGATTAAGTAAAATATTTTTAAATGTTAATATCTAGATTAAAAGTTCTCAATTACTGAAGATATAAAGAAGCATAAAATATGTAGCCTAAATTTTAAAAAATACCAAACAAATTATTTTAGGTATGCATATTACACCTTGTGTGTGTTTGGAAGCAGTATTAAATTTTTAAATGAAAAAGTCCTGTATTCTGGTTAGCAGCTACATTTTTTTTTCCTGTTATTTTTGCTATGATTGTTTGTTAAGAAACAGACACAAAACAATGAACACTGCAAGAGGGCATCACTAAAACATGGCTAAAAATATCATTAAACAGTAACTCCCAACCTCTCTCACTGGCAAATTGACTTTCTGCTCTCTCCAATAAGGCAATTTTCTTCAATTTTTCAATTTTTTAAGATTATTAATTTACTTTTTATCAAAATAAAAGAAAAGTTAATTTTAAAAATTGTTAATTAAGGTGAGCTACAGACTTTCTTAAAAGTCAAGGCTTAACTTACTGTTAAAATGGTGTCATGATAAGTCACATATAAAGTCAAAACAACATGAACTCCAAAATGTAGGTGAGGTGACAGCAACAACTAAAGATACTTACTGTCTAGCCTGGTCCTTATTGCCATATGTTACATTTACAACTGCAGTCTCCGTGTCAGTGTTCACTGAAAGGAAAATGCATCAAAAGGAGGGTAAGTTCAGTGTGCACTCACTTCCCACTACAAATTCAAAAGCAAATTGAAAGTTGAAACAGTACCTTGCTCACAGTTCTCCACAGTTCCATACTGAGCTAGCAAACTATCCAGCACCTGTAAGAGGCAAAAGAAATTATGTATTTAAATTTCAAAGCAGATTGACAAAACAAAAAAGCCTCTAAAAACCACCAGAATTTAAAAAATTATTGTAGGAGAATACAGATCATTTAAGACAGCCATTCCAATAAAGAATAAATTATTATTCCATGTAGAACAAGTACACATACTTGTTTTCTCTCTCATATGAGGAAGTCTGCATTTAAAATTTCACTAATGTGAAAATAGAAAGTATAACCTTAGGTAGGCACACTGGACTGTATATTCCAAACTTTGAAAATAGACCTCCAAGTCACCTGTTCTCAGAGTGGGCTAAAGCAGAGGCAGAAAGAATTAGAGAGAAGCAAATCAGAAATAAAACTTTCTCCATGTATTCCAAGAACGTATATCTAACTTTGTCCCTGTTTGGAGTTATTGGGGTTTTTCCTTCCAACACACTTAGGTTGTATATAAATGTGTTATTTTCTTCCTTAGTGGGGAAATGTCTGTGTAGAGAAGGAAACAAGAATCAGCAGCACATGAAGAGCTATTTCACAATTATTTGGCCGATTTCTCAAAGATCACCATGCCAGAGGAACCACTCACAACAGTATCTTCACCATTATTTGAAAGTCACAATTAATTTTTCCTTTGGTAGAAAGCTAGGAAACAGGTAAATGTATATGACAAGGGGCAAAAGAAATCTAAATTAAGTAGTTGTATTTTGCATAGTTTTATTCTTGTCAAATGGAGGATGAAGAAGCGGGAAATATACAAGCTTCTGGGGAAAAATCAGGGTGTCAGAGTATTCCAGTAAAAGCATTAACACACCCACAGTTGTACCACATCTAAAATTCACATGGTATAGAGTTTATTTTCTTCCTGGTGAGAAATCATGTTGCAGAAAATGGTGACTCTGGCAGTAACTAGAAAATATATAAGTGCAGCATTGTGGTGTATTGCACCCTAATGTTTTGTCTCAAATTTAACTGATGCTGGAAAAGTCCACAATTTACAAGAAGAAGTGAAAAAGTAAGATTGCACTCCCTTCTGTAACCAAAATGACATTTCTTAAGTTAATCTCTTAAGGGGAAAGGTAAGTAAGAAAGGGAGGAAATCCCTTTGGGAAAGGAAGAAAACAAGGAAGCAAAGATAAAAGGAAGGCAGTAGGCATAAAAAAGCATCTGTGATGCTTCCCATTGCAGTACACTTCCCTTTGCTATAACCAGCAATCAAGTGTGCACAAAACCCCAGTCCTTAAAAATGTAAAAAGGTAAAATTTAGTCTACAGCTTCATGAGATTAAAATTCCTAAATTATAATCTATGAATCTACCACGTACTTTTACTACAATGTAAACAATATTTCTGAGATAAACTGCTGTTTATATGGCAAACCTGGAGACAACTTATATCAGTGCAATTTCCACTATTTGCCACCTACTAAAGTTTAAACTGCATATAGATGCTTCAAAGGTAACATTTCAAACCAGGTATTTAACAGCCAATGCAGTGCTCACCAAGTTGGAGTAATGTATTACTGCTTCTAACTGCAGAATTTCCCCATGCTTCTTGTAGAGACTCTAGTAAGTTTTCTTGGCAAGAGTTTTGTTTTCATAGACAAGTTGTTAATTGTCCTCTCATTCTACAAGTAGAGATTAGCCTAGTCTGAGAGTTTGTCTTTTCAATCCCCTAAAAAATCATTTTTCTGCTGCTCCTCGGATCTGACAATTAGAATCTAAGTGAATGTTTGCTCTGAAATTTACTAAATATTACCAAAGCAGAGATGCTCCAGGGGATTAAAATATATTAAAAGTTTCTGCAAGATGCTTTTAAACAATGAAAACACTGGCACAGATGAGTAGGAGAGTTGTGAGGTCTTGCAGGTCTGCAGCTGTACCTCACACAAGCCAAGAGAGCCACAGCATGAGATTAGAGGAAAACCTTCTTCCACAGACTGCTTAAGGGATCCACTGAAACCAGTGGGTGAACAGAATCTCAGGTGGGGGTCAGGGATTTAAAACAAGAAAAGCAAAGATTTTCCTGGCTTAGAGATCCTTTCTGAGATGTCTACTTGAAATAAGGCACCAAAGAGTTCATTAGTCTGATAAAGCAATTCCTTTGTCCCTACAGTATGCCAACACCTGTGCTGTTCTACACTGCAGACCATGCCACAACATGAGCAAATGTGTTCAGCTGTTCTTATGTTTGAGCTGTGCAGACCACCACCTCATGGCCATTCTGCCCCAAAGCTGCAAAATTTCAAAACACAATTTCATTTTCATCCTTTTTCATGCAGGCAAAGAACAGTGCTAGAATATCCAATGTACCACAACAGTTTCCTTAGTGCTTTAATCACCAGTCAATTAACCAATATTTTGTATGGTTTGCTTGGTAATAACTAATCAATATTTTTGTAAGGTATTTCTATATTAAATTTATATTCTGGGCTAAGCATACCTTTATATCGCAACCCACGTATTAAAGTCACCATCTTCATTAAGAAAAGAAATGCTTTAAAGCTAAATCCACACAACTTTTAGAAGACACATTTTCCCTAAAAAGTACTTTCAAGGAAGTTTGTGATCAGCCATCAGAAACTTCTCTACACACTATCCCTTGCATCTGCTCCCAGGAGCCTAAGAACCCAAAGACTACTTTGCTGTTATTCTGAGGAGCAGCCCAGAATGGTATATTCAGCATCACACCCCTCTCAAGCAGGAGTTCTCCACTTATGCCGCTCCTTAATCCTCTTCTGATCCATTTTGGTCAGTGTTCCATCCGGGCTTCAATCCAAGTGATTTGGGTTCCCATGTTTTTTAAAGGGTTGCTTTACTGAACAGATTTATGAGAAGTTTCCTCAAAGGATTTGAGCTTGCTTTAACCAAAATAAGAAACAATCCTCTTTGGTCAAAGATACTCATTCTCTACAGCACTCTCTTCAGGAGAAACTTGAAATTTCATCACCATCAGCCTCATGCAGCAGGATTTTAAGTGAGATCAACACTGCAGAGGTAGCCTTTTAACTAGACTGTATTTAAAATGCACTAGTACAAAAGTTTCAGCAGCAGTTGGGGTATGTGTGAGTGAGTGTGAGGACTAAGTTTCATGGGTGAGAACACTTTTAACTGAACCAGCTGATCCAGCTGGGAAAAGTCATTGCAGTCATATTCAAAGCCATATCTTCTATTGTAACTCACTTTCAAAACACAGAACTCAATCCCTGCACGTTTCTTGCTTCACATGTATTTACTGCAACAATCAGTTTCTATTCACATCTTTCATTTCTTCGTATGTCTCTCACTATCTTTTCCTTCTCCCCAAAATTTTTTCACTAGCCCAAAGCCCATAGTTCTGCTGCAAAATAAACATGTTTTGTTTGAGCTGCTCTTCCGTAACACTCTTCGTGTACAGCCTTGTTGGGCAATCAGAACAAAATTCAAAGCCAAGTTGGTGGTGCAGCAGCAATTCTGATGAGCAGCTGAAAAGTTTATTTGTACAAATATTTAATCTAAGCTAGAAAAAAAGGTCTTTCCTTTTCTTGAGCTCTCCTTCTAGCAGTTGTCTAAATTGGGTCTCCTGCTCTTGTTATAGCACAGATGTCTCTCTCACAAAAAGCTGCAGTCTTATACTGTGGACTTTCATTCATCAGGCTCTAAAAGCCAATTCTGACTTCATTATAAACAGCATTACCCTACACCAAGCCCCACAGATCGAGGCTGCTTTACATAGAAAAAAAGGAAACATTACTCTTCAGTGAAACCAAGTGCTTGATGCGCACATTAAAATAGCACAGTTCTCATACAGATTTCACAGGTTTAAAGTAGTACTTCTGAACATATCAGAGCAGTTTTCTGCACTTTCAGAGCAGACTATTTTATACACATCATCTTATAGTGCTGTAGGACTTCTGCTGTACACTGCAAGGAAATTCATCTCAAGACATCTGGTCTGTAAGCACAGTTACCCATACTGTTTCTCTCTCACACATGCACTTAGTGACAGGAATGTCACAGTGGTGCTGGAGAACCTGAAGTTATTTTCTCCACTAATGTAGACCAAATCCATTAGACCACCACCCCCCCTTGTTTCCATGACTCCTGTGTCATGTTGACAAGGAATTAAAATTAGATAACACAACTGAAATCATAAATACCAGGGCTAAAAGAGACAGAAGTATTAGGGTAATTCAGTTGAAAAACCACATAGAAATTTTTGGCTGCAAAGACTTTGAGTGTACAATGTGATTTATCAATCAAATAATTTTGATGTAATGGGGGGGGGGGGGGGGGGGGGGGAGGGAAAGGGTGTGGTGAAGGAAAACAAGAGCCAGGTAAGGAAAGGAAGATGTGGGTGGGTAAAGGCCAGGGCTGATATCACAGCCTGGTTGAACCACAAATGCCATCTGCATATTTCAAGTACTTGCTTTATATACCTAAAACCATATTAAAAAAACAAAAAACACACACACACAAAAAAAACTACAAAAAAAACCCCACATAAACAAACAACCACAAAACAAAACAAAAAATCACCATAATGCCATTTTCCATTAATTATATTAATTCAGCCTAACTAGTCTGATGTGGCCCCCACCCGCCCCTGGTGTACTAGAATTTGCAGTGCAGCAGGAGCAGACCTGGCATTTTGTGACTTGGAGGTGTGACATTACCTTGGCAGAGGTGCCACTCCTCTCACAGCCACACCAGCTACCAACAGCTGACCACAGCAAAAAGGCTCCTCAAAGCATCTTCAGTTTGACATTATTTTTGGTTGGTGTAAAGAAACAATATCCCCAGTAAGGGTCCCAGTTAGCATGGGTTTATAAGGAAAATTAAAATGAAGAAGCCCCTAATAAATTCCTGGTGGTTATTTTTGAAAGGTGCAATAATTGGATAACACTGCATTGCCTAAATGGAGACTGTGGTGGACAGGTGAGCTCAGCTTCAGGTCACCCAGTGCATCTCCCAGCCTGGGCAGCCCCTCTGCATCACTGCCCTCCACAGCCCAAACACAGCAA